GCATAAGCTGAGCAAAAGACGTTTCAAACAAGATCTAGCTGATTTAGCTGCTAGAAGTAGAAGTTTTAGAACGAAAAAGGAAATTATTGTTCAGCGAGGAAGTGGCTTTCTAGGATTGATACTTGGACCACTTTTAGAAGGCCTTGCAGAATTAGTACAAAATAATTAGCACCAAGGTCATCCCCTTATTCCAATCATGGATAGCGATAAACGATCATCTCGTGAACGGTGGAGACTTGAAGACATTCTTAAATATCTTGATGTTGATGATAACGAAGCTGAAGAAATCCTTCATTTTATTTTAACGTCTACAGGGATTTTGACTTGAAATGGAAAAGGAGAAATCATTTACAGAGCACATAACATACGAGGAACTAATATTGTAGACCTTCTGAAATATTGTGTGATGCCTTACCATCCAGATATTCCCGAACTGACTGGATTGAGCATATTTATAAAAGGTCTTGCAGAATTGTGAATTGATAAAACCTAATCATAAGTGGACGTGTCCTCACTGTGTTAGCCCACAAGTGGTCGCGTCAGGATACACAATCTGCTGCTGACACAACTTGCAACATTTGTCACAAATACATATACATCTCCCAGTTGAGTACATGCCCTGTATGTGCATGGACAGATTTTTACCCGAATTGTAGAAGGTGTCGCTGTATGATTTGTGATTGCCGAGTGTCGAAAGGCGATTTTACGCATGGATGTCAGAACGGATGAAAGACAATCTTTCGACCATAAAATAGGCGAACAAAGTGCTATTTGATCAGTTGACTGTGTAAAGTGAATGCTCTTAAGCGTAAAGCAATAAAGACAAATAAAGAAGAAGACTGGAGACTATATAAGTCATCTAGAAATGTTGCCAACACTGCTTTGCGCAGTGCTAAAAGAGATTATTATGCAAACAAATTCACAAATAATAAACAGAATCCTAAATATGCTTGGAGAACAATAAACGATATATTAGGTCGAAACAGAAAACAGACTACGATTAATGAAATTAAACTCCCAGGTAAAACTGTTACATCGACCGACGAATTAGTCGACATTTTTAATGATCATTTTAGTAATATTGGCCCAAAGCTTGCTGAGTCTATTCCAAATGACAATGACGTTAGTTTTCGAGATTTTATTACTCAACAAAAATCTAAGACAAAGAACAGTTTCTCATTTCGACCAGTGAGTGTAACATTGGTTTACACTCTTCTAGTTAATTTGTCTACCACCAAAGCGACTGGAATGGATAAAATTTCAGCTAAAATTCTACAAGTAGCAGCTTCAGTTATTGCACCTTCTCTTACTGAGATTTTTAATATGTCAATTGACTCGGATCAATTTCCTTCTGATTGGAAAGCTGCAAGGGTTATTCCATTGTTTAAGAAAGGTCAGCGGTCCATGTTGGACAACTATAGACCGATATCAATCCTTCCTGTAGTAAGTAAACTTATGGAAAGAATTATGTATGATCAAATGTATGAGTATCTTAACCAGAATAATCTTTTCTCAAAACACCAATTTGGTTTCAGACCTTATCATTCCACAACTACTACATTATTGGATTGTACGAACGAATGGTATACCAACATGGACCGTGGGCTGTATAACTTAGTTGTTTTTCTTGACCTAAAAAAAGCATTCGATACAGTCGACCACGAAATACTGTTAAGTAAGTTTAAAATGTATGGTTTCCAAAGGAAAGCATTAAATCTTTTACGTTGCTATTTGACGCACCGAACTCAAAGTTGTCAATTGGCCAGTATACTCTCGGTGGAGAAAGAAATCATTTGTGGCATTCCTCAGGGAAGTATACTCGGCCCTCTCTTATTTATTATGTATATAAATGATTTGCCAAGCTGCCTAGAACGCACAACTCCAAGAATGTTTGCTGATGATACTAACTTAACGGCAGTAGGCAGAACAATTAGTGAGGCGGAAGAGAGGGCGAACGTAGACATGAGGAATGTTCAGAAATGGCTTTGTGCAAATAAACTAAGTCTAAATATAGCGAAAACCGAGTATGTTTTAATTGGAACACGACATAAAATAAGTAATATTGATACCCATCAAGGAGTTAAAATAAATAATCAATTGATTAAAAAAGTTAAAAATACCAAAGCTCTTGGAGTTGAATTAGATGAAAACTTGAGTTGGGAAAAACACATTAACCATATTAGCAGTAAAATATCATCAGGTATTGGGGCTATTAGAAAAATGAGGGAGTATGTCGAACAAGACATTTTGATAAAAGTTTATAATGCCTTAATTCAACCTTATTTTGATTATTGCTGTGAAGTATGGGATACACTTAATAAAGGCCTAAGCGAACGTCTACAGAAATTCCAAAACAGAGCGGCTAGGTTGATCATGAACTTAAAAAATGAACATGGTCAGTCTATTTTGGCACGACAATCTCTAGGCTGGGTAACACTTGAAGAGCGTAGGGCACAAATGAAAGCCAGGCTCATGTACAAGACAGTTAATGGTTTAGCCCCCCAACGACTATGTGAAGCTTTCCAAAATCTGAATACCATTCATGACCATAATCTGAGAGGTTCTTCAACAAGGTTTTATATTCCAAGACCAAAAACGGAATCCTTAAAAAAAGCTTCCAATATAGTGGGGCTAAACTATGGAATCAGATACCTGAAGAGATACGCAATTCGGTATCGTATAATTCGTTCTGTAAAAAGCTATCTTCCTCGACCTTAATCTCGACTTAAAGTAGTAGTTAATTTTTGTCTAAATAGGTATATAATTGTATTTGTTATGTATGTAATATTAGAGCTAGTATATAAATAATAATTTGTAAGTACACATCCCTTTTGGAAATCAGCTTTTGCTGAAAAGGCCAATGTGTTTAAATAAAGTTGATCTATCTATCTATCTATCTACGGCCCTGCGATTCTGGTGCAGAGGACCTTGTGCTGCATTTTTCGCAGTCGTTTCTGGTCAGGTCTTAAAAGTGTATACAGCTATTTCAATTAAGGTTGTCCCCCGAGCAAAGAGGAAAAGTCGAATACGAGCGCGAAAGGCTGCTGGGATTCGCTAATAAATGAATGAATTTATTAGCGATTCCCAGCAGCCTTTCGCGCTCGTATTCGACTTTTTCGCTTTGCTCGGGGACAACCTTAATTGAAATAGCTGTATATACTCACTTGGATTACAAACCCTAAAAAAACAGCATTCTAATATTAATTCCACCAAGTGAAGTACAGGAAACCATATCATTGAAGTCCATATTTCACTTATACGTTTTATGAAAGAAGTATTTGGTAGAACAATATTTCGTGCATGTGCCTAATAAATTATACCTCTGTGGCTTCGATCCCTGCAACAGGGCATGCAGTTGTCTCACTTGAATGTGAAAATGCAGTTACGGTCTCCTATGGGGGGGGGGGGGGGG